TTTTTTGGTATTTTATGGAAGAAAAAGAATAGGATTAAGAAGGAGAAATGGAGGGATATGAAATGGAAGAAATATCACGGATGGATAAAACCAAGTTGGTGTTAGGAGATATTACACACTCTTATCCTAACTTGGGGTTTGAATCTAGAATTCAATTAAGATATTACACACTTAATCAAATATCTAGAACCTAAAACTCACACTTAAGATAACCACTCTTAAGATATAGAATTAGGAATTTGGCTAAAATAGCATCACACTATTTTAATAATACTCAAAGAGTAAATGGTTTTCAATATTCAAAGATGTGTTACAATGGCCATAAGGCCTGATTATATATAGGCAGGGGAAGGGGGAAGAAATACACAATACATTGAATGTAGACATAAGGAAACTTCCCGTCTTCTTCTCCTAAATCAATAGCATGACCTCCACTTGTTGTTGTCCCTTTGGTGGGTAGAAAATCAGGGATAAGTTGTACTTGTGTGGATGGTGTTTTGGCCAGTAGTGAATGGTAAGGATAGGTGAATGTATCTCACTTATTTGATTGGGTTTTGGGGGAAATAATTCTGGACAGGGAAAGGGTTAAATGAGGGAAATAATTCTTCCCCAACCCCTTTCTCCCTTTTCTTTTCTCCATCACACCGCCCACTACATCTCTTCTTCTTCTTCCAATCACCACCCACCCCCTCCAAATAATAAATCTTTCCATGTCTTCACCTTCATCCATCTTCTCTCCAAATTCCATCAACCTATCTCCACCGCTATTGCTCATTGGCTTATACAGACTCGAAATTGTGATTTCCAGTGATTCGCTCGAAAAGAGGGGCGATGCGAGACAAAAAGGGTCGGCAATGGTGGGAGACACAGGGGCAGCAGTTATTGAGTAAAAAGCCTAGATTTCATTGTGGATTTCTTCATCAGCTCATCGCCTTTTTTTATTAATCACAAGTTCACAACCCTAAAGTAGATTTGATTTTGATTTTGCTTTGATTTTTTATTTTATTTTGTGATTTTATTTTAATTCTAAACTTGTTGAAAAAGAAGATATTTTGAATTTCTTGGAGAAGAAATGATACTCTGTATGTTTGAAAAAGGTTAAGAGACACGCCACTGGGCATGGGCAGTTGGGCACTGACGCCAAAGGAGGAAGGGTAAAAGTGGAAAGTCAAAGCATTTTTCATTTTACATTAAAAATCGTGCCAAGTCCAAACTGGAAAGTTTCAACTTGGACGAAGGGAGTATATAATCAGGGGGAGCAGTGCCGAACCCTAATACTCAAAGGAGAACTGATTGTTTAAGCTAGAGCATGAGCAAGCGAATTCGCTGAACGATAAGCAAAAAAAAAAGAAATCTCTCCCTAAAAAGGAATAAGATATTTAAAATCGGTGAGAATATGAGATAAAGGAAAAATATCATTGACAACCGGTTGTTGAAGGGCTTCGATGATTGCAAGACAGTCTTATTCGATAATGATCTTTGGCCAAGCAATCTCTTTGATCCTGCTAAGAGCTTCTTTGATTGCCAATGCCTCTGCTTCGTTAGGTGAGTGTAGGATGAAATGGTGATATTTTTTGTAGCAAGAAATGTACCATGATGGTCGCGAACAATCAAACCCACTCCCATACGATTGCCAGGGAGGCCTACCAAAGCATCAACTTTCAATTTTACCCAATCCAGTGGAGGTTTTGTCCATGAACGGGGACCAAGAGATGGGTCTGGGTTGACGGTTGTTGCATTTTGCCACTCAAAGAAAAGATACCAAGCCGCATGCCACGAGGAAGTGGGCGATGGAGACTGATTACGCCATATTATATCATTCCAAGCTTTCCAGATTGTGCCAAGGATGAAGAGGACTAGGAAAGTGTCGCTGCTATTGAACAGTGGGAGTGCGCGAGAAATCCATTCAGAAAAAGATGAACTCCTTGGGTTGAACCATCTGAAAGGAGATGAAGACCAAACTCCCCGAGAAAATACGCAATCAACGAAGAGATTATTCGTGGACTCTATGTTATACCCGAACCGGGGGTCTAAACGAGTTGCTATTTTGAGGAGGACTCAAGGAATGATTCAGCTTTGAGTTCAGGGTTCTGGAGCAGGAGATAATCGACTTACACAAAGTGAATCGATTACTGAAGGCTGCAGAATTTCTGGGGAAGCTGATAGTCGATTATCTGGAAAGGATAATCGATTATTGATCCCTGCAGGTGTTTCCAATGGGATTGATAATCGATTGTGGGGAATGATAATCGATTATTTGGCAGAATTCTGGGCAGGAAGAAGGGTGTTTTTGTGGGGGAATGGACTGGAAATATATGGAGTTGATGAGGGAGTTCTTTTGGATATTATAATTGGAAGAAAAGAGTGAGATTAAGAGGAGAAATGGGGGGGGGGGATATGAAATGGAAGAAAATCAGGGATGGATAAACCAAGTTGGTGTTTAAGAGATATTACACACTCTTATCCTAACTTGGGGTTTGAATCTAGAATTTAATTAAGATATGACACACTTAATTAAATATCTAGAACCTAAAACTCACACTTAAGATAACCACTCTTAAGATATAGAATTAGGAATTTGGCTAAAATAGCATCACACTATTTTAATAATACTCAAAGAGTAAAAGATTTTCAATATTCAGAGATTGTTACAATGGCCATATGGCCTGATTATATATAGG